GATAAACAAGTACATGCAGCAGGATAAGACCAGAAAGGAAAGACCATGGAGGGCCTGGAATGCCAAGTTGAGGAGTTGAAACTTTTCATTAGGTAATGGGAAATCATGAGAGGATTTTGAGCTGGGGAGTTGTTTGTCCATAGCTGTGCTCTTAGATGTTAGCTTGGCAGCTGTATGTTGGGACAGGTTGGAAAGGAAGGAGACTGGAGGCAGAGAAACCAGTAAGGAGGCTAGTGTCCCAGCAAGACTTATTAAAAGCATAAACTGAGGCCTTGAATGGAAAGGAAGGTTCTGATCAGAAAGAATTGTGAAAGAATAGAAGGGATTTAGGAATCCTTTACAGACTGCAAGGAAGGGGAGGAGTCAAAGATAAGTGAGAGTTTTAGCCTTCTTAGAAATGAGGAAGTCAAGACGGAGGGAATGAACATTGATTAAGCTGTCATCCTGTACCAGGCACTGTGCTAAGTGCTTTACAAATATTATCTCATTTGATACTCATAACAACCCTGGGAAATACATGCTATTTTATCTTCGTTTTATAGTTGAGGAAACTGAGGCAAATAGCAGTTATATGATTGCCCAGGGTCACACAAAGCTAGTAAATGTTTGAGGCCAAATTTAAGCTTAGGTTTTACTGACTTAATAATAGTGATCATAGTTAACATTTATATAGTGCTTACTGTGTGCTGGATACTGTGCTAATTAAGCACTTTACAATTGTCATCTCATTTGGGCCTCAAGAACAACCCTGAAAGGTAGATTATCCCCATTTTACAGATGAGGTAACTGAGGCAGAGGTTAAAATGACTTGCCCAGGATCACACAGCTAGTAAGTGTCTGAGGCTGGATTTGAATTCAGGTTTTCCTGACTGGAGGCCCAGGGCTATACCTATTGTGGCACCTAATTGCAAGGAGCCGCCTAGCTTGGCTCTGGATTCCAGAAACCCTCAAATAGCAGGTTTCTTGTGGTGGTTGCCCTCAGATGAAAGAATGCACTATTCAGCCACTTGAACACTTATAACTTTAGCTGACCCCAATTACCCTTATCAGGTCAGCTGTTACAAACCTATGTATTTTTTTTTTTACTGTATCCTCTCTTTTCCACCCCAAGCTAATTCTGTGTTGCTCATTCTTTGAAAAATATGAGATGGTAGAGGAGTTTGTGGGGATAGACCAAGGTCATTTAGACTTGTTGAATCAGACACACCTCAATTTACTGAAGACTGTGAGAAATTTAAATTCGTAGAAATGCCTTAGATCTAGATTTGATAACCTCCTGTCCAGAGGAGGATAATTATAATTATGGAAGTGGCTAGGGTCATTAAATGAGGGAGTATGAAAAGAGAAATGATGTCTACTTTAGGGAATAACAACTTTTAGGAATGGGATGAGGAGCCTTGAAATGGTAACAAAAATTCTTATATAGCCCTAATAAATATTTGTGTATTTGAATAAAAGACGCTTCAAATTTGGTGTGGTGGAAAGAGCACCAAATTTGGTATCTGAGTATGAATTTACTACTTTCTGACTATGGTCCCTACCTTGCCCTAGGTCCTTCATGCCTTAACTATGTGAATTTCCTCATTTGTAAAATGAGGGACTTCATCTCTGAAGTCTCTTCCAGGTTTTAATCCAGTGGTGGATTTGGAGTTGGAGAATTTGAAGTCTCTCATTTTCTGTTAAGGAAGAAATGCAGAATTATAGTATTTGAGAATATCAGATCGCTAAAGTATTGATCCTACCTAGAATATTCTACACATAATTATTCTGAGAAAGATGTTATATTAATGTGAGCTGCTGTCATTATCAACATCACCCAGTGTACTTGTATGTTTAAGTTGCCTCTTACTAGACTGGAAGCTCCTTGGGGGCAGAGAAAATTGTTTGAATCATCTTTATATTCCTTCTAATAAAATCCCTCATAGAGAGTAAATACTGTTAAGTAAACATTTAATCTGTTGTTCAGTCCTTCAGTGAATATTGTTGTTGAATATCATGGGAGTAAATCAGAAAACCAAATATAACACAAGTGAAGTGACATTAAAAAAATAGTTGTTGTTGTGTTTTTGTTTTTTTTAATATCAGCCTTATGAAATTTCTACCCACAAGTCTTCTTTTCTCTTCTGGAATCAACTAAACTGTGCTGACTAAACTGGCTTGAAATGTTATCCCCTAGATTACATCATTTTGGATTCCAGTCACAATTACCATAACAGAAATCAAAGGATTAGTTAAAAGACCTAGGGCAATCTGATAAACGCATTAATGGTCTAGGAACTAGCTACAAATCAAGAAAAGTAACATTTAGAAACTTTGGGGGCAATAGTTTGTCTAGAAAAGGGTCCATCTACTGAGATTTCATTTTTGGCAGGAAAATAAACCTGTCAATATTGAAGGTACATTTACATCCTGGCTCTAACATCAGTGATTTAGGAAACAGACATTTTATATATGAGAACTGTGTTGCAAACTGGTCTACAACATTTTCCAAAGCCTTTTCTGTAAATCTGCTATTTGATTCATGATTGGTAGTATCAAGAAGATAAAATCACTGTTTACAAGGAGATGGTGATGAGAGATGATAAATGCTTGGCTAGCTAGGATGAAAAGAAGAGAGGAAACAATTATAATATTCATTTGTATTCTTGTTCTATCAGTTATAGAAATCATAATGAAAAGAAATTAATTTTTTATTTTATGATCATTAATGTATAAAGTTATTGTATAATTTTTAATTATCATTCAAATATCACAAAATCACTTGATCATAGTTCTGGCCTTCCCCTTACTTTTTTTCTTTAAAAACAACAACAAACCTAGAATTTTTGTCCCACCTAATTAACAGGAACAGCAGATCAGTTCCCTATCTTCTAACTTTCTTTAAATTATAGAATAATTAAGGTGCCCAAACACTTCGGGTAGTTTGGTTGTAAATAGTAGTTTTTTATTCAAGGGTTCTATTTAGGTAGATAGCCTAATGATGGAGGGAGGGAGGAGCATGAAATAGAATTAGAATAGTAAATTAGTGAATGTAACAATTCATGTAAAACATTTTTACATTTTATTAATCTTGAATGGTATTTATTTCTGTTTCTGTAGTGTCTTTGTGACAGGCTAGAAGACTAACTTGTTAATAACAGATTTTTTTTCCAGATGGCTGCATCAGTAATGCACCAGATATCTCTTTCCCTTTCTTTCCTCACTACAGCTATAAGCAGTATAAGGCAATATCTCTGGAAAGGGCTTTAATTCTTTCAGGTACCAGGAGTATTTGAATAACTTACCTAATGGCGAGAAATAGAACCCTAAAAACCAGGAGAAGTGCTCAGTCTAAACCAGGGCATATTCAGGCATTAAAACATCAAATTTAATCATCTTAATAAAACATTGGAACATTTTAGGGAACACTATTAGATATCTATTTTGAGTCTCCCTTTGAAGGCAGGGAAGATGGGGAGAAATCAATGCCAACCATTTACTGGAATAAGATGAACGAGTAGGCAGTTTGGAGATTAAAGGCATTATTTATAAGCCATTAATGATCACAGTTGCATGAGTTACTCTGTGCCATGAACAACATTATAAGCATAAGTATTCCTGGAAAAGGAGGCATATGTATGTAGCAAGAATAAATGACAATAAATGTTACCAGGACATTAAAAGAAAAAAAGGAAGGTTTCTCTAGCATCTTCTTTTAGTACTTTATGGAAATGTTATAGGAACACAGTTAAGAACTGCATAGTTTTAATTATTAGAACAATACCCCCAAAAAGATCCAAGGTAGAAAAAAAGGACCCACATGTGCAAAAAGTATAGTTATTGAAGCTGTTTTTGTTGTAGCAAAAAACTGAAAATTAAGGGGGTGTTCATTAATTGAGAGAATGGCTGAACAAATCATATATAAATATAATATGATGCTATTATGCTATGAGAAATTATAAAAAGGATGACTTCAGGGAAGATTTGTATGACCTGATACAAAGTAAAGTGACCACAGAACCAAGTAAACAATTTTTGCAATAACTGTTAAGAGAAACAACCAAGGAAGACTTAAAGGCTTTGATAAACATAGTGACCAGCCCTGTCCTCCAAAGGCCTAATGATGAAGCATGCTGCCCACCTCTTGAGGAAAAAGTGATAGACTCAGGGTACAGAATGAATTGTTATTTTATTTTTATTTTTTTGATACAGCCAATGCAGGAATTTGCTTTGTGTGACCATGTGTACTTGTCAGGAGGGTTTTGTTTTTCTTTTTTTGAGGGAAGGGGGTAGGGAGAAGGAAAGAAGGAAAAAAAATGATTTTTTTTTTTTTAAAGAATCGCATAGAACAAGAAGATGGTAGAGATTGTGATCAGCATCAGAGTAGGGAAAATTCGTATCAGTTAAAGCATGATTCGAAGTATCAAATTAATGAAATTTAAGCTCAAGATTACCAAAGAGGTAAAGCAGCTAGCTGGGTCATGCAGTGGGTAGAGCACTGGTCTTGGAGGCCATTTTATCCTAGGCGGCATGAGTAACAAATAGCTTAGTGTGGATATTGCTAGTAGAAATAGGAAGAGGTGACAGATTAAAGAAATTGTGGTAATAACAGTTGATGGGGCTTAGTGGTTTAGTTTAGTTTTTGAGATAAAAGTAGGGTAACTGGTAGACGGTTACAAATGTGATACTGAAACCGAGGGCTGAAACTAAAATTTTGTTAATCATTTTCAGGAGTTGGGGTTAGACTGCTAGTGGAGAGAGAACTACTTTATTCTATGACATATTCTATCTTCAGTCAACATTTAGTAACTTTCCATTTCTTTGAATTTTATACATTTTATTCTTAATGAAAGAGGCTAATGTTGGAGACACTGTAGAAGGACTCAGAAAAAGTCTGTGTACAACATATATACTCTGCCACCATGACATTCAGACTTCAGATGATAATACTCTTTGAAATAAGACTTTCCTGTATTTTTTCTAATACAAGAAAACTAATGAATCCTTTTGTTTCCCTTTAGCTCAGTCATTAAAAGAATTTGCTCGATTACTTATTGCAGTGGAAGAAGAAAGGAGAAGACTGGTATGTATTATTTTTTGCCATTTTGAAATGTAGCCATTTACACAAACTCAGAAATGATGGCATATTTATTTATTTTTATTTATTTATTTGGTCAGTGATATATGTGATTTGGTACATTTTACAAAACCCCAGCATATCCGCATTTGAAGCTTCTGTAATGTATAAATTCTAGAAATAGGCACTTAAGGGGGCAGCTTGGTGGTGCAGTGGATAGAGCACCGGCCCTGAAGTCAGGAGGACCTGAGTTCAAATCTGGCCTCAGACCAAACACTTGACACTTACTAGCTGTGTGACCCTGGGCAAGTAACTTAACCCCAATTGCCTACAAAAGGAAAAAAAAATGTATTTAAAAAAAAGAAATAAGCACTTAATAAATACTGGTTGATTAACCTACTGAAATGAAACAGCATCAAAGAGTAATTGTGGTTGCTAATACATGCAGACACATTTCAGTAGTTTCCATTTTTTAAAAGGATGAAAGGGTGAATATTTTCTAAGTCAGTATCATTGTTATGCAGCATTTTTTAATCTTTATTTTTTCACTGTTTAAAGTTGTCTTCATTTATGTAGCTGTAGTACTTGTACTCATTATTCTTTCAGTTATGCTTTGTTCATTTTGTATTACTTTGTACAGGTCTTACCATGCTCTTTCAATCTTTCTTAGTCATTGTACCTTATTCTATTAGGGGTATTCCAGGTCATTCACATATCAGAATTTTCTTAGCAGTTCCTCAGTTGTTGTTTCCAACATTCTGCTGTTTATAAATAATACTATGATTTTTTTGCACAGCTAGGTCTTTTCTTTTTGTCAATAAACCCCTTGTGGTTTATTGATTCTTAGTCTCTGGACACAGGGAAGTAATATTTATTAAATTAGTTAGAATTGAACTATAGAAGTAGAAAGAGATCTTAGAGATCAATTACTGTGCCTCTGATTCTTTTGATACTTTGAAAAATGCCAATTTCATTGGTGTGGATGCCCATTCTACTGACACAGATTGTAATTACTCCGTGATTTCATAGATCACTTATTTTTATGGCAGAACAATCTGTCACATGGTAGCCTACCTTCTGATGGTGAGCCTCTTTGGATTGAGTCTCCTCTTCAGATGATAGACGTGTTATCAGAACCATGTTCAAAATGGTGATTCTATTTTTTGCTGGCATCTAGAAGTCACAAGAAGTCTTCTTTGGGGCCTATTCCTCTGTTACTTTCCTGAAAGATAACTTTTGCTTATTGGTAAAAATGAAATCTTTCGAAACTCTGAATACCAAATAGAACGTGAAGGAAAATCTGAAGGTGGAATAGAGGTAGAGGATAGTATTGTTAATGGCATGAGCCTGAAGGGTGCTTTTATTTGATGTAGAAGGACATAGAAAATGTATTTTCATTTGAACCATCTCTTAGTAAGGTACTTATTTTCTGTTTCATGTAGGTTGATGTGTGTTTTTGTGCTGTTAAATTTTGTAAAAAAGCAAACATATAATGTCTGTTTTATTAAAGAGCCTAAGTTGTATGGTCTTCTTCTTTGAACATTTTTTTGGAACATTTTCCTAGTAAAAGGAATATCTTTACTTAGTTAATTTAAAAGAATAATGGAACTTTTGGGAAAGAAATCAGATCAGTAGTTTTGCTCTTCAATATCTTCTCCAGATGAATACAAGAAAAATGAACACTGAAGTTTCCATGGAGATAGTGCACATAATTCGAAGTGCACCTGGGCAAATGCAAAAAAATAAAATAAAAATCTAATGACTCTTAAGCAAAAAAAAAAAATTCTGAATTTTTTTTTCAAGCGTAGGATATTTTGACTTACTAAGTTGTTATGAACAGATGTGCCATGGTCATTTCTAGCTTTCTAACATTCACATCCCTTCTCTCATTCATACAGTCACTACCACAGGACAGAACTAGTACAAAACAGAACAGAACTCATCTTTCAAATCTAAACTCCCTTCTTTCTTCCAAATTCCCCTAGTATTTTCAAGTACACTTTCAAGTACATCACCATCTCCTCGTTACCCAGGCTTATAAACTCAACGTCATCTGTGACACCTTACCCACACTCACTCCAAACTCCTGTTTCCAGGTCTTGCTATTTCTACCTTCACAACTTCTCTCATATGTGCTCCCTTCTCTCTACTCACCCAGGCACCATCTTGCTACAGGCCCTCATCACCTCACAACTAAGCTATTGCAATAGGCTTCTGGTTGTTTTCCTGGCTCAGTTCTTCCCCCACTGTGGTCCATCCTGTATTCAGCTATCAAACTGACCTTCCTTAAGTGGAAGTCTTATGATATCACTCCCTCACTCCATTCATTAAATACTAATGGGTCCTGTTAGCTTCCTACACCTGTAGGAGTGGTTTGGGAAATCACGGGAATTGTAAATGGAGTCATAGGGCACACTTTTCTTTGGAATGGTACTTGTTGATTTGATTACTGTCCCTAGAACAGCAAGTTAAAATGGCATGGCTACTTGGTGTGATATGATAGGAAGATGGCCAGAGTGCAGAAATGGGAAGGTGACATTGTCTAGTTGTAGTTAACTCTCAGCCACCTGGAGAGCATGGAACTGGAGATCTAGTTCAGAAGGGGAGGGGAGGGAGGGCAGATATGTGTGGAGCAGCTGCAGCAGTCCCCCTAATAGGGCCACAGGCAAGAGGGTGGTTGGAGTGCTGTAATATAATCTGATGGAATGTAAGCCCCTTGAGTTCCTAGAACATAGTAGGTACTCATTAAATGATTGTTGATTAAATATTCTCTGTCTCAGTGCAATTGTGGGCATCATTTTCTCCATGCATAGGTTGGACCTTTTCATTCATGATCCCTTCAAAGAAGTTGCACCTTCTGTGAATCAAAAATGTCTCCATTTGCTCTGTCTTATGCACTCAGTAATTCAACTTGTATTTTTTTAATTGCCCCACTAGTTTACAAGTTTCATGAGAACAGAGACTGTTTTCTTTTTTATCTTTGTATGCCAGAGGTCTATCATAGTGCCTTGCACCTATAACTTGTACTTTCTTAATAAATGTGACTTTAATTACAATTATAATATCCCAGAGTTGAAAAGGAACTTGACTGTCAACTCTTCCAACCCTAACCAGAAACATGAGATGTCATCTGTTTTCTTTGAAAACCTTTTTATTCATGGCATATGTTGCAATAATTTATTAACTATAATATTTGATTAAACAGATCTCCCCATTCTTCAGTATCTGTGGATAAATGAAATTTGTCTGTTCTTTTGCACTCACCTAATTTTAGAAGAATAAATCAAGCTTAAATCCTTATAGATAACTTTTTAGTAAATCTTCCATTTAGCTTCACTTGATAGAGGTTTGTTTTGTTTTGTTTTGTTTAAACAGCAGTTTGATATATCAGAAAGGTACTCTAGGCTTGAACCCATGTTGGCATTAATAAGTAGTACCTGAAACTTTATGAAACACATGTGGAACAAATGTAACATGTATACTTGTCTCATCCTACCCTTCATCTTTGGGGATATAGCCTAAATTATTTAAACCCTTGTTGTCATTTTAAAAAAAAGCATGGTACAATTACATCATATGCCTGATATTGTGATTTATAAATATAGAAGAAATACAGCTTTTAGATTGAATGTGAGGCTTTAGAAGCTAATTCTCCTTAATGTCCTATTTTATATATGTGGTGAAGTCAAGTGTGCCAGGAGCTGTGCTAGTCTCTGAGGGATGGAAGAAAAAAAAATAAAAAGAAAACCTGTTCTGGGCCTCAAGGAGCTTATGTTTTATTGATATAAAATAGTGACTGTGAAATGTCTAAGGAAGAAGCAGCTGCAAAACCAAACCAAACCAAAACAGAACCATAGCTGTAGAACTTTTCCAAGTAGTACTTCAGTCTTGAAGGTTCATTAAGATTACATGAAAATGAATCTGATATTCTCTAAAACATTTTAGTACCTAAATTATATTTATTGTTAGATTCAAGTAAGAGAGGCTAAGAGTTTGGGTATGCTCTAAAAAGATGAATTTGCAGTCTTAGTTGCCTTGTTGAATCCTCACATTTGTTTATTGAGTATTAAAAATCTCTACAAAGTACTTAGAGGGGCAGGGTAACATAACCTGTTCAAATGATCATTTATGGAAATTCAATGTAGGTAACTTGGCAGAGCCTAGGTAGATATCATGCCATGGTCAAGTTGAGCCACTCAGTAGAGGTGGTACTGCTAGCTCCTGAGAACTTCCAGCAGGTTGCTGGGGCAACACAGAACCATAAGTCTTCTATTTTCTCTGCCTACTCCATGTCTTGGGTCTTTTGACCCAGATTGCTTTGTGTTCAGTTCTGGAGGCCTCTTGGATTTTGTCTTCTTGGGTTTGTTCCTGGTCATGGTCAAATCTAAATGACCTTTGCTTATTCTTCTCAGTTTAATTTCCCTAGGGAGAATGAGCTTAACTTTCTAACCTTGCTTGAAATCTCTCCTATTTCAATTAACAATGAATCTGGTCACCCTAATCCTTCCCCTCTACTGCCTTTCCCATCCCCACCCCCAAAAGAAAATGATGGACAGAATATATTGTCACGAAGTAGGACACACTGCTTATTACAATCGATTTCAGAAATGTGGCTCTAGTTCCTTTGATCCTCCAAACAATATCTTGAGATACCAGCTAACTTTTTCCATTGCTGGTTCCCTTGGTACATGGCACTAAGTTTAGTTATTAAGTGCTTTAGCTACTGGGGAGGGGGCGGGGAAGTAGAATAGGGAGAGGTAGGCAGAAATCTACCTTTAATACAAGTACCCACTTGGAGGAATATTTTAAAGTATTATAGAACAAATGAAATAATTTGATGCACATCTGATAACTTTAGAAATTTTATGAACAGTAATAACCTATTTCTAACAGTTCTTTTAAAAAAAAAATGTGGGGAAGACCAAAGAATCATTATGGGCCAGTGAATTATCTCAAACTAACCTTCAGATACGTAGGAATTTGGAGAATACCAGACACATTTCACT